GGGGCGGGGAGAAGGCGAGGTCTGTCTCTTTAAGGGGAATACGCACCAGGGGGTCCCGAGAGGGAGGGAGCGGGAGGGAGCGGGAGGGGGGGGGGGCCTAGAAGGGAGCAGCCAGAGTCACCAGACGAGGGATGACCGACAAGCTGGGATAGGCAGAGCGAGAGCGGCTCGAGAGGGTGATGGTGGGGCCACCAGGCGGAGACCTCCGGGAGAGGCGAGGACTGCGGGGCAGACGCACAGGCGGGGGGCGGGGCAGGTCGAGGGAAATCTGCAAGTGGATGCGGGTGGATACGTGTTTGGGGATTGTGTGTGTGTGTGTGTGTGTGTGTGTGTGTGTGTGTGTGTGTGTGTGCGTGTGTGCGGTATCTCTGTGCAGTGCCTTCCAGTCCCCCGGCCAACACAGATGGAAAGTGCCTTATAAATGGTCTCCCACACATAGCCCGCAATCAATATTCCCACACGTGACTACGATCGGTGTTCCCACGCTTTCTGCGAGGGACGCGCGCGGTCGTCCCCGGCCGAGGCCCACGCATTCCGCGTGTGCGCGCGTGTGCGTGCACCCTCCCCTCGCGCTTTCCTGCAGATGTGCCCCACCCCCGCCTCCCCCCCGACGAGTGAGCGGCCCTGTTGGCGGACCGGGAAAAATGAGAAGAGCGCGCCATCTGCACATCCTAAATGCGAGGGGCGTGGGACGACCTGGCCGCCGCGAACTCGCTCGTCCTGCCCGGGCAAACGTTGGTCTACTGCGGGCTTCTGACCCGCCCCCGCGGCCGGAGAACGGCTGGCCGGGGCAGGGTGACTGGGGCGGGGTGGGGGGATGTGGGGCAGTGTGAAGGAACCGGTCGCATGGCACAAGCGGCCTGCCTGCCTGCCTGCCTGCCTGGTAGCTTGCTCGCTCGCTCGCTCGCTTGCTTTCCCCTCGCCTTTCGCTGCCTTCCCACCGGAGATCTGCCCCACGGCCAAGTTCAACCGGGGGGCGTATCCGGTGGAGGAGGCGAAGCGCAGGCATCGGTACCTGGGGCGTGAATTCCGGAGGCGCCGTAGCCCGGCCACCGAAATCGCACCGACCCCGAGCCTCGGGCCCCTTGCTCTCCGGCAAGAAGCCCCATCTTGCCCTCCTCCTCCTCCGCCCCTCCCTCTCCTTGACCACGCTACTTCCCCCCGCCCCTCCTGGTCGCCCCACGCGAACGAGATTGTGCCGCCACAGTTTCCACGCGCCCACATCCAGGTGCGTCCGCCGATGCGAGTGGATGGTGTGCCGCCTTCCGACGCTCACCCAGGCCGCATGGGGGCTTCGTGGCTCCAGGCCCCTGCCACTCATCTACCGCGTGCTGCTGGCTTGCCGCCGGCGGCGGTCTCGCCCTCACCTCGGCCGCTGACGCTCCCCTCCGCGCTTGCCAACCCCCCCGGGGTCCATGGTGCCACAGCTCCAGGACGCCACACTGCCTGGTCGGTTTTAGCCGGTCCACATATACACCTATATACACAGACACACGCGCGCACGCACACCCACCCACGCCAGCACGCATACACGCGCACGCGCACACGCCCGCACGCCCGCACGCCCGCACGCCCGCACGCCCGCATCCTTTGTCGCCCCCTCAACCCACCCGGATTTTGGCCCGAGTGATATGCCCGAGGAAACGTCCGCCTTCCGTGAGACCCTCTCGTTGGTCGACCCGTCGGAGGAGTTCCACGTTGATTCTTCCCTCTCACTGGAGATGACCCCCGCCCTGCGTGCTGCTATTGCCGGGACCCAGCCCCTTCGGGTTCTTTGCCTCCATGGCTTCCTGGTATGTTCCATTGGACACTCCCCCCCCCCCCTCCCGCCCTCCGCCCTCCTCTTCCCACGGTGCAAGGGCCCCGGGGCGCACCCGTGCCCCCACATGCGTGTTCGTGTGTGGGCACACTCCACGACGGCTCGTGGGTTGGTGCTTTGGGAGCGCCATTCCTGCGGGCGGGTCCCGTCGGGCCGGCGGGGGCGCGCCCCTTCCCCCCACCGGCGCACCTTCCCTCCGCCCACATATCCGCCCCTCGGCACCCCCTAGCCGGCTGAAAGTTGCTCCCGGGTTCCTGGCCCGCCTGCCGCGCGAATGTCGAGAGGGGTATGCGGGGCGAACGAGGCTCCCTCCTCTCCCCCCCCCTTCCCCTCCTTCGACCATGGGCCTGTCTGTTTGTGCTTGCATCGGCACACAAGCTTGCGTGCCCCCCTGTGTCTTGATGGCCCACGGGCGGTCGGCCCCTTGGGCCGATGCTCCCCCCTCTCGGCCGGTAGTGCGATTGGCGACTGGCATTTTTCTTGGCGCCCGAGCACCTAGGCAAGTCCCTGTCTCCCTTGGGCCTGCCCGGATAGGCTCCCTCCCCCCCCCCCTCCTACCCCCTGGAAGATGCAATTACCAGCCACCTCTCGGGGCCTCGGCCTTGACCGCAAGAGGGACAAGGCCTGCTGTAACATGTCCTCATCAACAGGCATGCCGGCCGGTCGGAGGGGCACCCACGAGCGCGCGCGCGCGCGCCTCATATGCCCCCTCCCCCCCCTTCAGGTGTTGCACATCTACCAAGCCACCGATGCCAGTCGACCAGCCGGGCAATGTCCCTTCGGCCATGCTGGGGGCATATGCATTCACATGGCCGAAGGGCATTGGAGACCAGGTCCACGATAGGGGCCCTCGCTGCCGCCGCCGCCGCCGCCGCCGCCGCGCGTACATACTTGCATGCTCGACACACTTTCCAGGCCCGGATCTGTGCATTTAACCGTCGCACTTGATCGCCAGCCTCGGCATATGTGCATGTGCCTGAGTGTCTCTGTCTGTCTGTGTGTATGTGTGTGTGCATGTGTGTGCATGTGCGCGTGGGTGTATGTGCGCCGGGAATCCCGGCTTACCCATGGCGCGGCGCCCCCCCCCCCCCCTTCCCAGTCAACCAGCTCCTCCCTATGTCTGTCCCACGACCGTCTCACTCTGACACACCACCATGCGATGGCCCACTTTCGGTCGACGCTCTCCTCCTCTGCTGGTCTCACTCGGGCTCTCGGGGTCTCACTGGGCCCATCAAGCAAAATGGCGCGACCCTTTCCCAAAAGACTGGCCGCCTGCGCAAGGCCATCAAGAAGGTTGCGAATTTCGGTGCGTCTCGCTTTCTCGGCCGGTGGCAGCTGAAAGGCGCCCCGACACATGCCCCACCGAGAGTGCCCCGTCGCCGCCATCACTTAGCCCTCGTCATTGGGGCCGTGACCTGCCGCTTGGATGGCTTCATGCCTCCGCCATGGCACCGCGTGAGTTTGTGTGTATGTGTGTATTATGCGTATGTGTGTGTGTGTATGTGTGTGTTGCGGGAGGTGTTTGACTCTGGCACTCTGGTCTCCACCCTGTCCGTCTGCCTGTCTGTGTTGTGTGCCTGGAATCTACGCCATTCCTCCTGCACCTGTGGTGGGGTTCGCATGCGCGCGCACACACACACACACACATGTATGTGTGGTATGTGTTCGCGCGCGCGAGGGAGAAAGAGCGAGGACAAGGGCGCACGCACAGAGGTGTGGGCGTGTTTGTGTTGCCATCCATGCGCTGTCCCCGGCCCACCCACCTACCCCCGGGCCTACTCGAGGTAAGGCGTGTTGGGCGGGGGCCGCTTTAGCACGCGCGATGACTGCCCCGAGCCCTGGGGGGGGGGGGGGATCAGCGGCCCGCGTGCGCGACTTCTTCCGAACCCGGCGGGGCAGG